AAGACACACATAAATTGCGTTCAAATAGAGCTCTCCTATTAATATTCTGACAAGACAAATATTTATCCATCATAAAGCTATACGAACAAAAGTTATAAGTTATAAGTTATATACGAGAGACAAACATCATGCTGAAAAGAGATTGTATCAAAATCACTCCATCCTGCAACACATGCTTGCAAAACAAGGCCTTTAAGAACTCTTCTGAAACATCGAATATGGTCAATATACTTGATAAAAATTGTGTCAAGTAGTTGGAAATATAAGAACATAATAGTCATAACATGATAGATTCCAAAGATATACACTGTGTATATCTTTGGAATCTATCCTTTTCATTTTGTCCCTTGCCTTTATAAAATATTCAAGTAGATTGAATCTTAAGCCAATCTGTACTCTGGCGCTAAATACTGTATGCATCATGAAAGAAGACGAAAATTGCTTTATATTTGAACAAATGAATTCTTGCATTGGTGAAATTAGATGTATAACTCCTATGCATAAAGACAAGCCACATAACAACTCATTATTTGTACTATGTTTAAATAAAACTCTCTTAAATACACAAAATAAATGTTTACTCATCATTGAGCAAACGCATTGGCCTAACTATGCACACAGAGAAAACTAAATATATGACTAACTTATACCCCATTCACAGTGGTTTTGAAATTTGTAGCGGCGTTGTAGCGGAGCGGCGACACCGCCATAACACCACTACAAATGCATTCACAGTAGAAAAGTTATCCCGCTGCAGCAGCGGGATAAATATCATGTACCCATTCACGCTGCAGCGGGTGATTTTTATTACCTCCGTAACAAACACGTGTATGCATGGCTCATGACCCGTGAGTGACCCCGATATGACCGGAAATACTTGCTTGAAATTGCGCGGTAAACATGTCAAGTTGCTTTTTGTATCCTCGATCATATTACTTTTTAAAAAACTAGCATTTTTATTGCTTCCAGTCAGAATATTTTAATTTTTTGAAGTGTGAAATATTTTTATTTGGATAATTATAATACCTACATAATAATAAAATCAATTTGAATCCACTGGTTACTTTATTTCTATTTCACTTTATGTTCCCCATTGCTGTAGAAAAGAGGTCAGTGATAGGTAAGTAAACAAATCACACGTGTTTGTCGCGGTGTTATAGCGGAGAGCCTTCACACTGAGTAAACACCGCGACAGCAGCGGGACTGTCCCGCTGCTGTAGCTAGGCGTCCCTAGCGATAGTTTGTGTCGGCGTTATCGCTAGGCGGTGTTATCCCGCGATAGTTTATAACGGGTCCGAGCCTTCACACTGAAGACAACACCGCGACAGCAGCGGGACAGTCCCGCTGCTGTCGCGGTGTTTGAGGCCACTGTGAATGGGTATACCCCATTCACAGTGGCCTCAAACACCGCGACAGCAGCGGGACTGTCCCGCTGCTGTCGCGGTGTTGTCTTCAGTGTGAAGGCTCGGACCCGTTATAAACTATCGCGGGATAACACCGCCTAGCGATAACGCCGACACAAACTATCGCTAGGGACGCCTAGCTACAGCAGCGGGACAGTCCCGCTGCTGTCGCGGTGTTTACTCAGTGTGAAGGCTCTCCGCTATAACACCGCGACAAACACATGTGATTTGTTTACTTACCTATCACTGACCTCTTTTCTACAGCAATGGGGAACATAAAGTGAAATAGAAATAAAGTAACCAGTGGATTCAAATTGATTTTATTATTATGTAGGTATTATAATTATCCAAATAAAAATATTTCACACTTCAAAAAATTAAAATATTCTGACTGGAAGCAATAAAAATGCTAGTTTTTTAAAAAGTAATATGATCGAGGATACAAAAAGCAACTTGACATGTTTACCGCGCAATTTCAAGCAAGTATTTCCGGTCATATCGGGGTCACTCGCGGGTCATGAGCCATGCATACACGTGTTTGTTACGGAGGTAATAAAATCACCCGCTGCAGCGTGAATGGGTACATGATATTTATCCCGCTGCTGCAGCGGGATAACTTTTCTACTGTGAATGCATTTGTAGCGGTGTTATGGCGGTGTCGCCGCTCCGCTACAACGCCGCTACAAATTTCAAAACCACTGTGAATGGGGTATATGACACAGATGAAAACACCGAGATAGAAGGTCGAACGTTAGAGAGAGTGAGAGTTACAAGTATCTGGGACAAACTTTGAAAATGGAAGACACCACAAAAGAAGAAGTTATGATGAGAGTAAAAGTAGGATGGATGAACTTTGGAAGATACATGGAAGACATGTTGACCGATAAAAACATATTGTCACTCAGAAGAAGAATGTTCAACCAAAGCATTCTAACAACTATGACATAATCAGAAACATGGTCATTGACAAAGGACATAGAACAGAAGCTTGTGACTACTCAACGAGCTATGGAGAGAAAGATGTCACATTTATCTCTGTGAGACAAAATCAATCACAAAGTCATACGCCAGAAAACAAAGGTTAAAGACATCATGGAGAAAGTCAGAGAATCCAAGTGGAGATGGGCTGGGCATGTAGCAAGACTTCAAGACAATAGATGGACAAATCGTTTAACAGAATGGCAACCAAGGATGTCGACTTCTCGGGTACGAGAAGGTGAGATAGCGAGATTCCAAATCTCGTCTTCTCGACTTCTCAGGTACAAGAAGGTGAGAAAGTGAGATTCCAAATCTCGTCTTCTCGACTTCTCGGGTCCAAGAAGGTGAGAAAGTGAGATTCCAAATCTCGTCTTCTCGACTTCTCAGGTACAAGAAGGTGAGAAAGTGAGATTCCAAATCTCGTCTTCTCGACTTCTCAGGTACGAGAAGGTGAGAAAGTGAGATTCCAAATCTCGTCTTCTTGACTTCTCAGGTACGAGAAGGTGAGAAAGTGAGATTCCAAATCTCGTCTTCTTGACTTCTCAGAATCTCAGGTACAAGAAGATGAGAAAGCGAGATACCAAATCTCGTCTTTTTGACTTCTCAGGTACAAGAAGGTGAGAAAGTGAGATTCCAAATCTCGTCTTCTCGTCTTATCGGGTATGAAATGGTGAAAAGGTGTTTTTTTTACAAACTCGCCTTGTTCTAGACGAGAAAACGGAGAGGCGAGATGTACAAACCCGCCGTGGTGCCTTATACAGTACGAGAAGGCGACTTGTTAGGGGGAATCCCCGCTATTCATGAGGACCGCTATTCATAAGGACTACTATTAATAATTTGAGAAAAGGGCCATTATTCGTAAGGACCGCTATTCACATCCAAAGAAGAGGGGCGCTATTTATAAAAACGAAATGAGGGTCACTATTTATGATAAAGAGGAGGGTCGCTATTCATAATACAAGAAGACGGTCGCTATTCAAAATAATTTTAAAAAAAAATTAAATAGTAGTAATTAATAAACAAAATGATAATAAGATAGCGAGATAATGGGTAAGAATATTTTGTAGAAAACAAATATTGAAAACACACATTTCTGAACAAATAAAGAAAAAAGACGTGCCCCATTAATGTACGCGACCCATCTTCCCGCAGTATTCCCTAGGTACAAATACATAATACCTACATTTTTCGTCCAAGTAGCGTAGCCTGTGTGTTTCACGGGGGGGGGGGGCAGTGGGGTGTAGCAGCGTTACCATCAAGGGACTGATCTATCATGTCTCTAACCCTCAGCAAAGGAAGGAAACGACAGAGAGAGGGGTTGTAGGGATTTAAGTTATTCACCATTTTCAAGCATTTCGTAAATATACAATTTGGCACGATATATTTGCCATATGGGTAAGGAAGTTTGATTTTCAAAATTTTAAGCCAAATTAGACTCGATTTGGTGACCCTAAGGCATTATGCAAACGGTAGCGTCCCTGTATCATATATTTCTAAAAGTATTTTGATTTTTTAGCTTTGATAATTATCATAATCTAGCTAATATATTTTCCCCGCTCCTGTGGTGACAAATAAAAGGAAAACATAAGACACATAATAATCCTATCGTAATTTGTCCCCCTTGTACTGTGGGAAATATTGCCCCACAACCCTGCCCCGACTGAGCTTATGCGGGCTATACCACTAAGACATTAACTAGAACAAGCAGGTCCATTATCATAGCCATTTAAGGACTGTGATTGCTATTTTAAAAAACCATAGTAATTGTTTATACGCCAATAAAAAAAAATTATTTGTAGAAAGTAGCTTTTAGTAGGACTTATGAAGCTACAAAATATATAGCCTGAGCCATATCCAGGGACCCAGACCTGAAGCTCTTCAATTTTAACCCCCCCCCCCCCCCCCCCCTGGGAAAAAAAATGTGTATTTTTACATTTTTTAACGTTAATTTTACCTTTTTTTGGAGATGGGCCCCCAATTTTTCAAATTTTCGAGGGCCAAAAAAATAAAAAATAGTGCTCCCAACCCCCCCCCCCTCCCTAAATACGTCATATTCCAGTGATCAAATAGGGGATTTTCGATTTGCATAGATTTAATGATCTCATATTTCAAACACTCATAACTTTATTATCATTGGTCCGATTTATCTATTTTCCCCCTTTCATACAAATGTACTGGTTGGATTACCATTTAAGTTCGAGAGAATTGTATAAACCTATCTATGGCTGCAATACAAAAAAAAACGCATATAGTTTGCAAGAATCTTCAGTCAATTTGAAGGAGGCAGACTTAATCAGAAGAATAAGGAGAAGAATAGAAGACATTCCCCAGTAAATATGCCATTTTCTTTGGTAAGGGAAAAAACCTACTCTGCCTGGAAGCCAGGCTAACTGGTGACAATAAAACTAGGCGTTGTGGCGTGCGCCTGTAATCCAGCTAAAAAGTGGAAGTTACAAACTGATTCAGCCGAGGACGCAGGTTCGAAACTGAGTCACGTCTTTCGGATGGTGACGTTTAAAGGTCGGTCCCAGACGTAAATAATCATATCTGATTGATACACGTCTGTAAAACCCAATACACACACACACACAATATTGTGTACATACTATACTAGTTATACTAGCGATGTGTGCATACTATACTAGCGATGTGTGTCGTTCAAGCACGTAGCGGAGGAACAAAACGAAAGACCTGTCCTGTACCGTCCTGTGCAACGCTTCCGCATTGATCTTGTAGTTGTACAAAATAGTTCACTGTTGATAACATTTGCTTCGTAACCAAGAAGAACGGCATCATCGGACTAGATTCATCGTTGGCTTTCTGCAAATTCTGGTTTGATCTAGAGTAGAAAACAATTGCATCTCATCCCAGTCAATTATCTAGCCTTCAATTTAGCCCCTGTGAAAGGAAAGGACCAACAATATGAGCGACAAACCACCTCCATATAACCCGGTAAGTTTCAGTTTCACTTTATTTTCATACTTCACATGATGTATAAAACTATACAAAATGATTACATTTGGCATGTTGCATTTTTTAATTTTATACAAACGAAGCTAGAGAATGATACATAAGACTAAGTTGAATAAAGGGAGAAATATGATGGAGCCAAGTAAACAGAAAGCATTGCTTGCATTGGCAGATCTACGGGAGGGCCGGGGTAGGGGGTTTAACCCCCCCCCCCCCCCCCCCCCCCTTGGGCTGCCAAGTGCAAATGTGATGTGCATAGAAAAACGCCATCATGTGTAACCACATGACTGTGTGCTCAGTCTATAGACTCACTGAAATGTTAACCAATCATAGATTTCCCCAAAGAGAGGTCCGACCAAGTGCCAAGAGTTAGAACACAAAGAAAGAATTAACGAACACTGGAGAAAAACCAGTTTCAAGTGCAAATATTGTGAGAAGATATTCAACTCAACTGATAACTTAACCAAACACATGATAACTCTTGATATAACTGTGTATTAAACTGTTACTTGATTTAAAAAGACGTTATCATGCACTGCTTTTTATGGTCTCCATTGTGTTAGTACTAGTAGTAGATGCCAGGAAAACATCACACACAAAAAAATGCCTCGTCGCTACTTGGACAAAATTGGGTCGAACCCCCCCCCCCCCCCTTAGCAAAAAGATAGATCCGCCCCTGGTAGGCCTACTTGTAAGTTGTAATATAGTAGGCCATAGGCTCCAGAAGTTACAACATTGATATAGATCTAGTCTTGTGTATATTAAACAGCGTAATAGGATTAAATCGGAACATATTCTACTCTACGGAATAGGTAAACATTGGTCATATAATTAGCAATACTTGTGTTACATTATCACTACCTGTACGCAATAGCAATCTCACTGGAGCGTACCAAAATTTTGGCATCATTTGACAGTGTCGCTGGCGCTGGCCTGGCTGCGTCTCGGTAAAGATAAAGTGTAACCGCGCTGGCCTGGCAAACAAACTTTTTGGCAGTGACGTCAACATCTTGGTATAATGGAACATACATGAATAGAACTTTTTGCGATTTATACATTTATTTAATTAGGGAATCTATAATCTCACCTGCAGCTGCAATCGTTCCAATGTCAATGACATTATTTATCGTAACGCATATAACCTAAAACTTGTAAAAGATTGACAATGCATTGATAATTGATTTTTTTTTTTTTTTAATTGACAACAAAAATAAATAGAATCTGCAGAAATCCATGCATCATCCATTTATAATCCTCGTGTTTCATGGGTCATGTGTAGCACTTGGTGGATACAAGGAAAAGGGGGCTGGGGGCATGGGAGGGCAATACTTATTGTTCAGGCTTAATTTTAAAAGTCTACTATTTAATTACAAAAAAAAGAAATTTAGGCCCTACACCCCCACTCTCACAATAAATTTACAGGTGTAATTCTGGATCAATTCTTGGTAAAGTGATAAATGCCCTAAATTTTTAAAACTTTTAAATAGTATAGAGTGAGTGAGTGACCCCCACCCCCCTTTATGAATGTACAAAACTTTCCAGCTTCTTAAATAGAGTATTTTTGTACTTTGTGCAGTCCTTTTTTGCTTTGTTCAGGGCATGGCTGCAAAACTGTCTTTGCAGTCTTTGTAATATTCAATAATTGAAAAGTTGTGGTGCAAATAAAAAAGTTCCCCTGTGTACTGTCTACTCTGGCCTTAGTGTGATTCCATCAAGTTCTAGCCCCTTTGAACTGCGTAAGGGTGGGGACTGCTCTAGTAGATTCCAGAAGTGCATGCCACTATATCTTGCTTATACTATAAACGAAAAGAATTACAGACACTCATTCTTTCCAGAGTAATTAATCCAACTTTTAGTGAAAATAAGACAAGCTAAATATTGTGGAAAATTTACCACTAATTGGAGGCTCAACTTTGTTAGTTTCAAGTTCAACCGGATCTACAAATGTGCCCCTATAGGCTCCACGCACAAACAGCGTGCATGTACATGTAAGTACTAAGCTGCCCTGCTCAACCACTACCAGCACTGTGGTTGTTGTTGTTGTTGGTAAATGTTTAATGGCGTTCATTCAGTATTGAATATATACGCCATAATATCTTCAATTTTATAAGAAAATCAGTTATAGTCTTCATAAGAAAACTGAGAATAAAGATTTGTAATGAAATAATTAATTAATAAGTAACGCAATTTATTCAGAGTCTCTGGATGGTTTGCAACTTCGTGTTTCTGCTTTTTTAAAGTTTAATCTGGTCAACCCGGTTTCGATTGCATGGAAACTAGCTTTGCCCGATTTGAAACAGGCTTCTCGTGGAATTGTGGAATTCCCCACTGTGGAATTCCCCAAACTCTATTTATAAATTTGTATGAATACCGGTAATAGCGCCCTCTAAGGCTGTGATAAACATAACATTTGTACAGAAATGTGCTTTCAGTTCACTGTGGTAATTCCCTGAAAATCATAAACTTGGCACCAGTGGTGACTGGGCATATCTATTATCTATACATGTATGTATTATGGCACCTGGGGGAAATGATGAAATTGTGGTACATTTTGTTCATTTTTTAACCCTTAAACTCACAATTTCCAATGCATTTTATCCATATGAAATTGTGCATGGGAGTACTATATGAGCATATTTTCTTTGGGGCTGAGGCCTGATGGCTGCATATCAACCATTCTGGTTATAAGTTTCATGAGCGAGCAAATTTCTTTTATAAAAAGAAACTTTTATTATGGTAAACTCATCACAATATATTTAATTTGGACATCTCACTGCCCAAACTTTAGAACTTTATATGATAAATCTTTGGCTGTCATCGAGAGTAGATAATTTGAAACATCAATATGCGTTTTAAGTACTGTACATCTAGTTTTCTATTGACTTCTTCCTCGAACCGTAATTCATTCATTCATATTTTTTCCTTCTCCATTTTTTGTTGTTGCGGCTTTTCAAGTGCTGCCCGGGGCACATGCCTCCTCTGCCACCCACATAGATACACCATTGAGTTAGACACTTAAACTTTTATGTCATAAATATCCCTATTGGATCAGATGGTGAAATGATGATGAAATATAATGAAATTTGAATTTTTAGTAGTTTCACATTGCATAAATGGTTAAGGAAATGGTTGAAATAACATTTGTGAAGCTTTTTTTTGTTGTTTTATCTTTTAAAACTTTTATTTATCAAATAATTCTTACACACGTCATGATAACAATAATCATAAAATTACTACACAATAATTACAAAAAGGTATAAACAGATGAAAAACATCAAGCAATACAGAAATAGTGGGTAACACTTCCTTTTCTACAGTGTATATCATAGGATATATAATCAAAATAATTCTTCTACGGGGGACCATTTCTTATCTAGTGAACATTTGTGAAGCTTACCCTGTCAGTGTGCTGCCAAATAGGGCAGACATACATGTTTGTTTTCTAAACTACAGCATGTGCATACATGTACTTCAACATGGCTAATGTCAAGAGTTATTACAACTTAATATATATTAATAAATATTATTTAGACAGGAACATCCCAGCAGACTGACAGTCCTCAAGATTGGCAATGTTGGTTTAATAAAAACCCTAGGAAAGGTGTGAAGAAAGTGACTGGGAAACTTATCTTCACATTATTGTCACATTTAGATTTATATTCACATTTTTAGTTTCCTAATGCATAATCTATTATTATTTATTATTATTATCGTTATCATTATCATTATCATCATTATCATTATCATCATTATCATTATCAACATTATCATCACTAATCAGCTTTATTATTATTATCATTGTTGTTATTGTCATTGTTATTATTATCGTTATTATTATTATTATCAAATATTCAGTCTTAGTTACACATTTACACTGTTTTCCCATATAATTCATTTTGCTCAGAGTGCAGCCCCTTCACCCGGCTACCCACCACAGCAAGGCTACCCACCACAGCAAGGCTACCCACCACAGCAAGGCTACCCACCACAGCAAGGCTACCCACCTCAGCCTGGCTACGCCCCTCAACCCGGCTACGCCCCTCAGCCCGGCTACCCTGCTGCCCAACCCGGATACGCACCCCAACCCGGATACGCACCCCAGCCTGGCTATGCACCCCAAGCTCAGAACCAGATGATGTCCAACACTGTTGTTGTGACGGCCCCACCAGCTGTCCAGCAGAGTACTGTAGTAGTCCACAACCAACAGTGAGTATGATGTCATTGTAGAGGGGCATCAGTTACTATGTGCAGAAGGGCCATAATTCGCTGATACCAGATTTTTAGAAAATATCGTTCATGGCTGTACATGTCTGCACACAGCAAACCTGTAGGCTTATCAAGAAATACCCCTTAGTCTCTTGGAGAATCTTCTTTGTGTGAGGGAGAAGTAAGATATTGACATTACCATATGGGGGAATGGATGGAAAATGCAAAGCATTACACAAAGTCTGTTGGTCATAAAGCTTGTGCTATGCCACTGCTGCCATTATCTTTTTACACCCCTTCCTTTGTTACTACTATTTAATGTTTTTTATTCAACATGAAATAAATAAGAAGAATCTGAGGAAAGTTTAAAGACACTGTATCAAACATCCTTCATATTCTCTAATTAGAATTGTTTAGTACCTCTGTAGTGTGTGAACAAATGAAATTTTATCAATTTTTTGTAACTTTTTTATTTGACACCCTACCACTACCATAATATTAATTGTGTGCAGGAGGGTATTTCATAAAGCTGTTCGTAAAGTTACGCATGACTTTACGAACGACTTTTATATGAAGTACCAGATAAGATGCCCCAAAAAAAATTCTGATATTCCCAATAACCTCAATTAAATTATGGTAAAAAATATACTTTGCATTAAAAATGTTTGTTAATCTACATCTGCACATTTCAACTTTAGTTGATGCAGTTAATAATGATTGAGCATCCCACTTGGCTTTTCATATACAAGTCGTTCGTAAAGTCATGCGTAACTTTACGAACAGCTTTATAAAACACCCCCAGGACAAATAACAAATATGAATTAAGATGGAATGCCCTGATTGCCCTCATTATATTGAAAAAATTTGAATGAGAAGTTAGGATTAGACTTTAATTAGCCTGAACGGTATATACAGTACATGTACGTAGTACTAATGGGGTGTTGCGTTGCGATTATTTACAAATTTGCAATTGATCGTGACTCGACTTTCTTGCAACACCCATTAGTAAAAGAGAGAGGGGGGGGGGGAATTAAAGCTTGATCTAGTTAACTTAAATTAATTGTTAAAAACTTTAATCCTAACAAAATCCAAGGAAATTTAGGAGACTAGTGGGGCCTGAAAGAAAGTTGACTTGCAATTGATTGCAAATATCAGTTGCAAATTTTGCAATCAATCGCAACTTTCTTGCAATGCCCCATAAGAGTCTTCAGCTGTAGTAACTGGAAAGAAAGTGGGCTACGTTTCATGAAACTGTCATTACTACATGTACAAATTCACTAACATCCCTTTAACAATTTTAATTGTAGGCAAACTTGTAGTAATGACAGTGTCATGAAACACAGCCCAGATTCTAACAAGATCCAACAAATATTATCTCCTGAGATTAAAGAGATCTTTTACTCATGTGATAACACGTTTCTCATTTGTCTTTTTTGTTTTCAGACGTCGCGGTGTGAACCATTTGTTGCATTGCATCATTACATTCTTCTTTTGGCCATGGGTATTCGTCTGGATCATCCTGGTAAGAAACATTCAGAAAAAAATATAATCATAATCATAATAATGGCCCAGTCTGAGAAAGTTAGGGTTGGTCTAAAACATGATAATATTGGATAATTTAATAGTGCTCATATCCCACACACCGAAGCCTCGTTCAGGTATGACGCTGCAAAACAGCTGCGTTATTAAAAAAAAAAAAAGTAAAATGTAACACGGTCAACCACATTCATTTCCTACCTAGACCAATTTATCTCATTGTGAACAGTGTCCATGTCTAGTAGTGTTTACAATGGCGGGGGAATAGTGCACACAGATATATGCACAGGGAACCAGGGCGCGCCTTAGTTCACAATGAGGAATTCCCATGAAAAAATAGCTAAGTGCAAAGTCGTATTAGAGCATAATCCAACCTTTGTGACATTTTGAGAATTCCTGGCAAAGAGAACAAAGTGCTCATTGAACCCTCAATAAATGCTCACCTGATTACGATCAACAATTTCTTTTCTTCAATTCGATATCTAGTATATACACTTTAAATATGATACATGTAGTCTGATATTCTTTGCAGTGTGCATTTGATATGTTTGCTCTTTCATAAAGTAATAAAATATAAATAAATACTTATGAGACTATGTTTTCATGGGGCTCTTCTTGGAACATTAGCTTTGCATTATACATTTCTCTTTTGTTAATCAATGGACGTCTACATGTGGATTGGAGCAGGCGCGTACGCAGGATTTTTTCAAGGGGGGGGTTTTAACATTTATAAATCGGTCCGAAAATTTCGCAACGACTCAGCCAGCCGCTGAATAAGCGGGGGGGGGGGGTAAGAGGACACATTTTTTTTTTTTTTTTGGTCCCCAAAAAAATCGCAACGACTCAGCCGACCGCTGAATAAGCGGGGGGGGGGGGGGGGGGGGGGGGGGGGGGGGGGGTAAGAGGACACTTTTTTTTTTTTTTTTTGGTCTCGAAATTTGGAAATTTGACATTTTGACCCGTGGGGGGGGGGGGTAAGGTCACCTTTTTTAGGTTGGCCATGGGAATAATTTTTTTTTTTTTTTTTTTTTTAAATAAATAATTTAAAAAAAAAAAAAATAAAAAAAAAATCCAAAAGGGGGGGGGGGTTTTGGGGGGGGTTTACACACAAAAAAATTACCAAAGGGGGGGGTTTAACCCCCCAAACCCCCCCCCCCCTGCGTACGCGCCTGGATTGGAGTATAGACTAACATGGAGTTGGTACTGCATTATTGTGTAGTACTCTAATTATGATGGGTCCTTTTAAAAAGAAATTTTTAAAACTTATTAAAGTCTAAGTCAAATATAATTCAGATTTAGGCCACCTTTGTTTATTTTTTTTTCTATTCGTAAGACCTTTGTTAAGTTTTACACTGCAAAGTATGTTTCATGTTAAAAAGAAACATTAAAACCTTTGATCATACAAGTTGTATATAGGTCGGTTATATTTTTAGAATCCAATAAAGACTAATTAATAGATGTTTTCACACAGACTCGTTCACTCGTTTTCTTTTCATTACCGGTACTCATATATTATTGTGTAATTAGAATATAACAGTTCTAAAGTTCTCTAAATGTTTGCCAATTCGAGAAAGAAAAAAAAAGATTTATTCAAACTGACTTTCTAAAAATATTCATTCCACAGTGCATCACAGAGGGGGCTTAAAAACCCTGACTGGACATCTGAGAAACTCTGCTAAGACAAAGAGAGGAGACACCACCTGATCATCTTTCACCTTTCACCTTTGAACTTTGACCTCTTTTGCCTGCATGCATCCAGCACTCTCTATTCTTCCAAGTTTGGTATGTGCTTTCAATCACCCCATGGTGTCTTGGAAAGAATAAATAGAAAAATGTCTTTTTGACTGGTTATAATTTCTTCCTATTTCTTATTTTCTTTAGTGCATACTGTTAAATACTGTATCATTACGACATGAGAGGTCTGTAAATAACAAATATACTGGGAATTCATGTGTAATTGAAATGGCTATTATTATTTTTTATTTTAAGCCTTATAAAAACCTACATGTTATTCAACAATTTGTATCCTCTTTTCTATTAGAACTCCCCATCAGCATTGAATTTGGGTCTGTTATTAATATATACTAGAATTCATGTGTAATTGTAATGGCAATCTGTTATGAAAACCTACATGTTATTCAACAACTCATATCCTCTTTTCTATTAGAACTCCCCATCAGCATTAAATATGACTCATTGGCCAAACTACTTTGCCCGTTTTATTGTTTAGCACAATTTCCTTAGAATATATGTACACAGACTGTACATTTTAGTTAGTGTACAAATTATGCTTCTACTGTATATTGGGTGATTGTATGCTTTCACTTTCAGTTTCCATTACGTTAGTACTTAGCATGTGGGTGGGATGTGCCAGCATGTATAACATATCCCTCCTCATGATGTTAGTGTAAATTGGAATTTAATACAGCCCTTGCCATTTGCTGCCAAAAGAAGAACACTTTACTAACTAGATGCTGGTATGAAACATATCAATTTGGGTCTCGTGTGGTATATAGATTATACATGTAAATAAAGCACAATTTTACGTACATGTATCTGCTTATTAGAATTTATTATTTTCAGAATAATTGCCTTTGTCTTGTGCAAAAATATGCCTGGTACATTGGCCAAAAGAGTCAAGATTATCAGTACCATCTTTATCCATGTTTGTTGCATTTGATGCTAGAGAAAGGTAAAAAGGACATCCTTAAATTGGCAAAATGTGGAAATCTTCAAAAGGCTTTATCCATACAATACACATTGTTACTTTTAAAATTATGAAATAGCTTTATATGAGAAATAGGTTGCAGTAAAAGACAATTGGAATTGTTGCCAATTTGAAGAAGAAAAGCTGAACCCATATTATTTTTTTCTGAATGAAAACTAAATATAAATACTTAAGGCTGAAATCCTATGAAGATGTTACAAATAACATCAAGGGAATGCTGACTCTATATTAAATACTCTTTTTTTTTTTTAGTCCTATTTTGTATTTTTATTAAAATGGCCCTTTGCCCCCCCCCCCCCCTCCCCCCACCCCCAATGGCTGTACTAGCATATGAATTTAATTAAATTGCAAAATCCAATTTATTATACAAGCCTGATACTCGGACCCCAAAATAAGGTATTTTAGCCGAGATGAGAGATTTTTATCAAGTGCCTCAATGGGTGATAAAAGAAAGAAGATGAACAAATGAAAGAATCTGGACTAGAAATTTAAGAGACCTTTATATAAGAGAAGACCATGATTAAAAAATAATTTTAAAAATCTGCTCTATTTCTTAGGATTAGCCTATTGAGAGAGTGTGAAAAGATAAATCTGGCAGTACACATGTTCATCTAGGTCTTTTGAAAACTTGTTTCTTGGGATATTGAAAAATAGAAATGTTATTTGAAAATATATTTCTTTACCGTCCACCACTTTTCATCACCATCATCTAGCATCACCTTTTATAACATTTAAAGATGGTGTTATTGACAAAGTGTTAAAACTGCCATAATATTAATCTCATATTGAAAGCCACATGGATAGTATTTGTATAAAGTGGATTGATCTTTGGGGCTTCTTGGCTGAAATTGAATATTACAAATAATTTGAAATCGTTTTGTTTACCCCATTTATTGCAAATTTGCAGTCATACATTCAAGCATTCAGCATTACGAAACACTACCAAGAAATTGAAACTGAAGCATGTCAAGAAACGGCATCAAACTTTCAATAATTTTGAAATATGATGTTGAATATTGAAGTGGATTTTGAAATATGGATTTATTAAATCTGCTTGATTTTAAGAGACCTCAGTTAGGCACAATCACTTTATTGTAGGATATTAATGGTATTCAGTACATGTGTGAGGTTGTGAATTTATTTTTTTGTATTGTTAAAAAATGGGTTCAGGTCAAATAGACATTTACAAGTAGGTGGAGTCATTTGGGACCAAAGTCTAATCTTCTAGTTTATAAAGAAGTATTGTTATATCTTTATGGCTAAACATCATCTGACAACTCTGTAGTCACATATTTTATTAGCCTTTTTTTAAATTTGCTACTGATATACAACTCATGTATTTGTTGTGTATTATTTTTTGCCTTCTATGTTTTTTTGTTTTCACTGTAATGCAATGTGAACAATTTAGAATTGTCACTAGGGAGACAGTACTATCCTATCAATTCAAAACAATCATGACAAAAAACAATCTTATCATTAATACAAAATCATGTATTTTATGTAATGATTTTCAAAATCTGATAAATATTTTACCCTCTATGTCATGAAAATATCACCTTGCCAGTGATCATGCTTTGTTTGAGGAATTATGCCCTTCATCATATAAATAATTATGATAATAATATGTTTTCTTATGTTTAGGTTTAGGAATGTGTATAATATTTGTGATATAAGAGAGCTGAGACACAAGAGTACATGCCAACACTTATCGTTCCTGTTTTCACGAAGTGACGGTAGTGAGGAAAATCCGCACGCAAATTGTATGCGATTTTCATTCACTACCGTCACTTTGTGAAAATAGGGACGAATATATAACCTTATGAAGAGAGCACAATATGGCTGCACAATAATGCTTTAAAAGGGCTTTAAAAGTTGTACTAAGAGTTCTGATTTGTACTTGTAGTTGCATCCTTTTCTATATTCTTATTTCTATGGTTTCGACTTGGTATAGATGAATGATTGATATGTTCCTCTCATTTATCTCACTACTTTGAGTAGGACCTACATATTTTACCTGTATGTGTGAAAGTCTATTCATAAACTGAATTCGGTAAACTACATATATACCTGATTAATGTTCATACTGACTAAGAAACATAGACAATTATTTCGAAGAAGACAGCTTTAGCAAGGGTCCCCCCCCCCCCCAAAAAAAAAAAGGATAGTAAAATAGAATATGGAATTGATAATATTAACTTTGTTGAATGTAACATGTTATATTGCATGTATATTTAAAGGATTTTCTTAAAATTTGTCAGAGAGTTAAGTCATTAAAAGTAATGGTTATTTTTCTCTTAAATTTATTTTTGATAATTATGTGAATATAATATGATATTTTTGTAGTGTAAGTCGTGTGTTAGTAATCTTTAAACAATCATTGTACTTTTGAATCACATGTACAAGGGAATCACCTCAAGCTCAATAAAATAATGATATTGTCATTTTGTGCCTTATGAAGGCGATGTAATAGCATTCAAACTGTAGTCTTTATTTTGGGTTTACTTTTAGTCACACATTAAAGAAATGACTTTTGTAAATCTGTTTTCTTTTGGGGTTTATGTTACAATTAAATGTGTATAAGTTGTGCGAGCTTTAATCAGCGTCTTGAATATATTTTACTTTTTTATTGATTGGTTTCATTATTCGCTGTATGTTTTACCTAATAGTTCATATGATGTACCTTTATTTACCCCATGATATTATGCTATTATGCATTTAATTCTGTACTTAATAGACCAACATCCCACAAGACTGAAAAATTCAGTACTTAAGGTGAAACTTTTTAAAAAGTTGTTTGATGGCCTACATTACCAACAATATCATTTGGTAGGCTGTGACAGCCTGTCAGCCTCATGTACTGTCCGACCCAGAGGCTATAGCTGTACTAAATTTAACAGGGATTGATTCTAGTATGGGCATAGGGGTGCAGGCATATTTTTGCATGGGGGTAGATGCCTTTTGCCCAAATACCAATACTGTACATTTTCTAAAATTTCTACATACACATGTACGAGCAAAGCAAGTCACAAAATTTGAGACACTTTTTTTAATAAATAAAATGACATAGAAATTGTGTATCTGGGCACCTCATTTTATTTTAGCATCTCAATGCCCAAATATTAGGATATTCAAGCACCTTACTGCCTGAATATGAGATGGTGGTTGCATCAAAAAAAAAATATTGGATCTTTGAAAATCCTGGGGGAGATGAGGGGTCTACAGCCCCCCCCCCCCCCCTCCCAACCTCCTATGCCCACACGTATGCGTATAATTGTTGTCTCCTGTGCCAGTCCCCTCTGTAATTGTACATTTTGTATGCATTCCAATTATCATTTGTTTGTGGCATTTTATCAACTCAAGAATAATTTGTACATTCAAAAAATTTCGAATCACGTAGTACAGTAGTACAAACAAGTTTTGTCAAACAACACAATACACGTGTTTTTATGCAATTTATATTTTTTCAATAGTGGTAATAGTGGTGTGAGAATTTTCTTTGAATTAATTATGGTGTAAGAATTTCTTGATTTATATGTACTATTATGTTATTCAAGATGTGAGCACATGCTGTGTTGTAGGACAATTGTCAAGATATTAATGAATGAAGTTGCATTAACGCAACTCTTTGAAATAAATATATTTCCACTACTCTGAACATGTGTCTCAAATCGTGTTTTTCTTCAGATGTGTTTGCACATATAAATGTAATTCAATTAACAATTTTCAGACCATTACCATAAGGCATATGGAACATAATTATGCTGGATATGTACCCCCCCCCCCCCTCCCCAAATTCATTGCATCGTGTTTACCTTTATCAGATGCATATCGGTCAGGGGTGTATGAACAAAATTAAATAGAGCAAAGCCCAACCTAGTCTAGTTCTGGACTCGTTTGTATATTCTTGTATTCGCCGACTATACGCGTTAAGCCGAGTGATGGCGCGATCTCGAGAACTGATATAAAATAGTCAGAACTAAACCATGCACCTACTACATGACTAAACTAAGCTAGCCGAACCCAGCGTTGAATCTTTCCATTTCTTATATTGCTTTTCGCCCTCTATTGCTGATAAACTCGTTTACAATGAGATTGATAAAGAAGGTCAAACATCGAATTAATAAAACATTATTTTAAAGATCTTCGAAAATAATGGCATATGGGTTAAAGGCAGAGGTGGTGCTCCGGGGAGGGTGACCCAGTGCCCCCTTTTTCCTTCTGACAAATACCCCCCTTTAACCCTTGCAAGTTGTCCCTATCACATGATGCTAGATGCTCCTTTTCCTTTATAATTATTGCCCCTTTTCCAATCTAATAAATGCCCTTTTTCATCTCTGGTGGGTGCCTCTTTTCATATGCGATAAATGCCCTTAACCACCTGTGATATTTGCCCTTTTTTGACTTTCACACATGCCCGTTTTTCTTTCTAATAAGTGCCCCTTTTCCCTTCTGATTAGTGTCATTTTCCCTTTTTAATAAGGACCCCTTCCCTTTCTCTTAAATGCCTCTTTTCATATTTGATAAGTGCCCCTTTTATTTTGACATGCCCCTTGTCCTTTTTATAATAAGTACCCCATTTCCTGTGGATAAGTGCCCATTTTCCTTTTTTATATGAGCCCCTTCCCCTTTCCATAAATGACCCTAATAAAATCTGATATGTGCCCCTTTTCCTTCGACAGATGTTCCTTTTCCATTTATATAAGACTATAGTGCCTTTTATCATATCTGGTGAATGTACATTTTCACCTGTGATAATTGTCCTTTTTACTTTGTTATTGACACGTACACCTTTTTTTTCTTCTAACAAGTGTCCTTTTCCCTTCTGATAAGTGCCCCCTTTTCATTTCTCCATAAAAGGCGCCCCTTATTTAAGCGATTTAGAGTCATTTCTTTTTTAAGTAATGCTCGCTCTCTAGCATTATATAATTATGTTTCTTATTAAAGGTCTTTTCAGTCTTTCATGATTAGATCAGGCTCGAACAATTTTTCTCACTGTGACTCATAAATCTTTAAACAATTTCTCGCTCCCTTTGCTCGCTCGCAAATTCAGACCAACACCAACAGCAAGGTACGAGGCTTAAAACAGTATTTTGGACTGTGTAAAGAGATTAAAAATATGTAATCACAATCGTGACAATGTAGGGTAATTATATGTCTAAAAATGGTATATGTTTCCTTTGAGGTTTCTATTTGTAGGTGCCCCTTTTTTCCAGAAAGTGCCCTTTTGTTGGTGCCCCCTACTTTAAAGGACACCCCAACGCCCCTGGTTAAAGGGGATGACACAATGCACGCCCCACCCTCGTTAAATGGTGTGTGTGTGTGTGTGTGTGTGTGTGTGTGAGAGAGAGAGAGAGAGAGAGAGAGAGAGAGAGAGAGAGAAGGGAGAATAACGAAAATAATAGAGAAGATTCTGCTAGCTTGCTTTGCTTAAATTATTGTCACCCTAAAAACCTTTATATTTTTGTTTTAATCCTTTACCTTGATATTCTGATTCTTTCTAATATATGCCATGTCATAATATCGTTTATCTCGGATATGGGGTATATCCCGGTGCCTTGGTGATATTGCAATCATATAGCTTCAAAGGTACTAATATGATATTTAGATTATAATTATTGAAGAAAAAAATCCAAAGGTTACGGAACGTATATCTAGTAAATGGTGTGCAATGTGGTAGCTGGATTCGCAGGGTCTTGGAAGAACATGAAAAAAATGACCCCTATATGATACCAATAAATGGACCCTTAAATCAATTTGTATTTTTCATCATCTTCTCTCTCCCCTCTCCCAGCTCTCCCTCTCTCTCTCTCTCATGCACACTTCTCATCCTCTCTCCTTTTCAGTATCTTTCCCCCTCTCCTACTCTCAATTGCTATCTCTCTACTTCTCCTCCCCCATCTCTCTACCTCAAGCTCGTATTCTTCACAACACTTTTTTTATTTGAAAACCTTAACTTTAATCTCTCTGTATTTACATATATATAGTTCAAGTAAAAGGATATGTACAACACAATCTGACAAAATGTCCACATAGTCATAATGCAAATTTACATTTCACGATAACATAATAAATCTCTCTATATATAATATGATAACATATATATTATCAAGAATAATTCTTCGTTATTTGAACATATAAAGAAGAAGCATTACAAGCAGTAAAAGTACATTAAAAGTAATTACAGTTCATTAGGAGTATGAAAGAAACAATAATCGCCATGTTAGATGTTATACGTCATTAACCAGCTCTCGTTAGGAAATGATCGAGCTTGAAATGTTTCGAGCAAGAAAGCAACCAAGGTTCAAAGTGATTTCCCGAATTATTGTTTTCCGAGAACAAAATGTCGTTGCCATGGTTTCCGCTTTCCACTCTCATGATGTGACAAGGGAAGACTATCATCATTTAAGAATCTTATTCTGACATGCATTCGGCATCGTATTGAGGTATTTCTTTACTACGGCCTATCTGAAACGGACCGGAATGCCTTCTTGATTCAAATGGGTTAGTAGCGTCACTAGGACTAATGATGTATCGTTGGCCTATCATTGGTGCTTCTGATGCAGCGCCGCGATCACTGATCACGGCTCCTCCACCGCGAGCCCAGCATAACCTCATCATGTCTTGAATGTCAGTGATGTCGGCTTTGGCGCGCGCCATTTCCTCGCGAGTATCTCGGAGTTCGTCCTGCAGCTCCTCAACGGCGCGTTCAAGACTGTTGACGCGTCGACATCGTCCATGCGGTCTCGCGGCGACGTCATCAACCTCTGGTAATATCGTTTCGCAAGGAATCTTCGTTTCCATGCAGATTCCTTCACAGGAATGGCTTTTTCCGATGTCTTTCAGCATGGCGGCCTTCCGCCTTGATACGTTCATCGGTTTCACCTTTGAGCCTGTGTTAGACGGCGTCACTGGGGCAGGACATGCGAACACGACCTCCGTTCCATCTACCTCGTCGCCGATGAATCGGACCTTTGGCTGTGATCCTTGGAAGGTGGAAGACGTTTTATTCGGTACAGGTGAAGAGTTTATAACCCAGTCTTTCGTACGAGCTTGAGTGTCCAGTTGACCAGGGCTGGACGTTTGGACATGGTATTTCTCGACATCAAACCCGAAATCATGAGGAGGGTAACAGGGTACAATGGCTGCTGCACTCCTGTCTACCCACGCGGCCGTGCCTGAATGATGTGGGGTGTTTTGAAGCAGCTCGGTTCGCATAGAACCCAACGGAGCAAGCCTCCTCTCATCCATATTCGGATCTTCACCTGAAAGTGAACGCAGGTAAGAATTGTAAACAAGAAATTGTGGAAGTTTGGGGACTGAGTAAAAATCTAATCTATTTTTGTTTTAGCTCCCAGGGAACAGGGCAGACGTGACAGGCGACATACTTCCTCTTAGCATTTGTTGTTATGCTTGGCGAGGATAAAATCAGGGAAATTCCCTGAATTCGCAGGGTTATCACTGAAAGCAACACTTTTACGACACACAATGAAAAAGACAATTTATTTACACTCGCCCATTCAGTCAAACTGAACACGACAGCGAAGAAACACAAAGAACATAATTTATATCCTAACTTGTTTATGCAATGTACTCTTTTAAGTATTGTTCCACTATTTCTTTTAATACAATGTGTATATCAAAAGAAAAACAATCATATTAAATTTTGTGATAATAAGTTCATATTTGAAGTATTGAAAATTATGCTAATGCAATCTAGATGAAGACAATAATGTGAATAATCATTACGGCCTCAAGCTAATAAATAACAGAAAGGGGTCATAGAGGTACATAGACAGACAGACATATAAACTACAATGGGAGAAAGAGCGAACGAAAGAGAGGGGAGAGGAGAGAGAGAGAGAGAGAGAGAGAGAGAGAGAAGGAATACGTAAATATGCACAAAATAATGATTAATATAAAAACAAATCTTCAACTTACTTGATCGCGAGAGTCTCTCGTATCTCAGCCGCTTCGAGATGATGTGATGGCCGGCGATCTCCGCTTCGTCCACGGCGGTCCTCCCCTTCGAGTTGATGATCGTAGTGTCTATCCCGGCAGCGAGGAGGAGTAAGATGACCCTATGGTGACCTCTAAAAGCTGCTAGATGAAGAGCAGTGTCTCCATACTGTGTCTGGGTGTTAATGGGTGCTTTCTGCTCGAGAAGAAGTCTGTAAAAAAAATGAAATTAAGACAACAATCAGCTACCAGTTAATGAACGGCAGTAATTCTATTCTTTGTTTGTTCTTGTTTAAGATTCGTACGTATTATTAGTCGGCAGCACATTTTATTATCATGATTATAATATAGCTTTCAGATGGTGTGCCCGTTTTGTGACGACTTTACAAGAAAAAAAAGAAAAAGAGAATGGGTTCAATAATACCCCCAGTCACATTCATGAGACAAAACAACAACAGTAACAGTAACAAAATCATAGGTACTTCAGACCAGGATGATAGATTCATTTTTAAAGAGCACATCTTCAATTCTTATATACTTGAAATAATAAGTTGTAAGGACGATGACATTACACAGTTTGATAAACTATTTTTGTTTAAAGAAAAGAAAATAAATTGAAAATTGAAAGAAAGATGCCAGGGCATATTTTTAAAAGCTAACCCCTGGGTAGATATTCAACCACTTCGTGACTTAAGGAAGAATGTCGACAGTATCCGTATCCTTGTTTTTGTTCCGATTCCACAAATTGCGTTCTGATGAATCATAAATAAATGTAACACTTTATTGTGAAAGGTGCATGATTTTTTTTCTTCTGGGGCGGGGGGGGGGGGGGGTAACAAAAGAAAGGCTCCGGGGCCAACGTTCCCGGGTACACGATGATTAGGGGACCTGCTGTATATTTGTAATGAATGAGAATTCAAGAAGCGTATAGGAAAATTAAAGATCCGTGTTTGTTGCGATTTTTAATGTAATTAGGTTCCATTGTCAGGTGTTTTACCTATTCCAATTCGCTTTTATCTGATTAAAATTTGATGATTCCGGAAAAAAAGGGGAGAGAAATTGGAGAGGTTTTCTTGAGAAGTCACATTGTCGGCACCTTGTTAAAGCTACCTTAATTTATCATTACTCATAATTCTGCGAGTTGTTGTAATACTTGGTCGTTTGTTTCTTTGTGGGTATTTGTGGGTTTTTTTCTTGTTGTAGTGTGAAAAAATGAGTATGTGGTCTGATCGTGGTATATGGATTACCTTTTCGTACCTTTTTCTTTTGCCGGGTAACTTCAATAAAATGTTTATCGATGTGTATTTATCACTACAAACGATCGGCTTGTTACCCTGAACTTTGTTTTATTACGACTAACTAAATATTAAAGAAATCATAGTTGCACTTTATATTGAGCTGGCTTTATGAAATATCTAAAAACTCGCTTACTCTCAATATTTAAAAAAATATATATAAGTAATGTCTATATACTCATATTTAGAGATATTTAGTGTTGTGATTTTAATTTAGGCTTACATCTCGCCCCCCCCCCCCCAGCAATACACACCATTTTTTCATTGTTAAAAATCATTCTATTTTTGTCAAGCAAACAGTGCATTATAAGCATGACTTCTGCTATAGTTTCTACGGGTCGTCGGATTTAGGAATTTTTTTTTCTCTCTCCGAATTCGGGATATCCGGGTCACTGAGTTGCATGGAGGTGATATTATGGGAAAAGAGTACAGATTCTTTTCTTTGTGGAAGATATTCGGTCATAAAGGCTCAATAGAATGATGACTTAATACAAGCTGCGAAAAATAATAAATAAATGAAAAATAACGATAATAGAATGCAGTCACATTTAGTTGATCGTTCACTGGAACTGGGACCCTGACTAATTTATCCCAAGAATACCGAATGTTATATACTGGTCATGTATTACGAGGCCCCATTATATTAATGTATTTTTTGTATTAAATTAATAAGAGAGGAAAAGAGAAATAAAGGGCAGGATGGACAGGGATATATAGAGAGAGAGAGGGAGAAAGAGAGAGAGAGAGAGAGGGAGAAAGAGAGAGAGAGAGAGGGAGAAAGAGAGAGAGAGAGGGAGAGAGAGAGGAGGGGGGTAGGAAGGGGATAGAATATTACAAAATAGGTAAAAGCTTAAAGGTAAAGACCAGTTATGGTCATGCGATTGCATTGTGAAAGAAACGTTGTGGAATCGATCAGAAAAGGTTGATCATCTAGCATCTAGCATCTAGCATCTGCAAGGTTCTGGAATCATCAAAATGATAAGAAATTTGGCCCATTCTTCGTAAAGTTACAAGCACTATACACAGAAAGATGTATATGGGACTACCCTATATCTCTCACAGACCATGAGAGAAACAAATTTACCAAATATATGAATTAGTAGGCGGTTTCCCGGCAATTTTTTTATCATCATGTATTAGTCAAAACATATTCTTTCACATGATTGGTAATGAGAGCTTCCATTTCATTTTTTGAAATTGGGGCGTTTCCAATACTGGTCTTTACCTTTAAGGTCCCAGGTAATTGTTTTAAATCTAAAAAGTACAGGTCATGTGTGGTTTCGCGTTATAATCGGAAAGAGGATATGTCTACCAATTCAATATTTACTTTGAAAAAGTTCCTTTTCAAGCTTTTCATCCAGGTATTCCAATATATCGAAATACATATAAAAAGAGAAAGAATGGCATGTAAAGGCAAACATTACGCTATCCGGTATTTGTTTATAAATTCTTAAAATTTATTATGAAATGCAAAATAAAACGCGAAACCAGGCGATCGCGAGAACAATGGAGATGATGGTTATGATGGTGATGATGACGACCATGATGATGAATACGATCATGACAGTCAGTACTGTGAGGAAAAAATACTGGATGACGGATAGGGGAACCGCACAATATGAGAATAATAACAAATAAAAAAGGGGAATTATGTGGTGTCGGCTAAATTCTTAGGAAATAAGAGCATCCGTGAAAAGGGCGATATCGTACATCCTCTAGCCGCGGAAAATAGTTGATAAGTACACTTCCCATGCGGTACACATAGCTATATCCTATCCCTTAAGGGTCCTCGTGCCCCCACGCGATCCTGCAGCAAAATGATGGAGGTGCGATTTAATTTAGATCACAATGTCAACAAGCCTAGGACAGGTTTGTCTGAATTCCCACACCCCGGCACACTGCATGTGTTGAGTGTTTGTTCTGATGTTATCTTTATAAATGATTTTTTTGTGAGACTGAATTTGAAGCGTCTTTTCCCAATGATTTATCAATATTTGTATAATGCTAGTAAAATTGACAACGCGGCAGTAACTTTGATAGTTTACCCCTGACCCCCAGAAATGACAACCCTGCCCAATACGTATCTATAGTTTAGCTATCATCAGCAACCTTGGTAAACGTCATAAAGTTATCCCTTTTTCAAGATCATGGTAGGATTTGTGTTATTTGGTTAGTTCTATGCCATGTTACATGTGCTTTATTTCCATTATTTGTCCTCTTTTTGGGAGGTTACTTATTTCTTAATTCGTATACATGATATTGTTGAACGAAAGAACCCACATCCAAAACATCAACAAAACAAAATAAAATCCTAGTAGGAACAGAATATAACCAAATTACATTAATGTATCTTTTTAAATAAGTAATCGATTTTTTAATTCGAATGCTATCGAATACATCATAGTAAACAAACAATAAAACTAATCAATGGGCACACTGGCATATTATCGAGTACGTGCATGTGCGATATCAATTGGCACTGAAGAAAGAAAATAGATTATATATTATTTATACTACACCCCTTAAGAATGGAATAGTCGAATTGAGAATGCGCATCACAGACATGAGACAAACAATTAAACATTAAATTTAATTATCAATCATTGAATAATATCAGTTTTCCCTTAATAAACAGATTTTCTTTACATTTTGGGTAATGTCTTTTTTTTATATTCTAAGTTCAATCACTCATGCATTGCAAAAATTTTACACAGCATCTTTGCTGCAGACCAGAAACATGATATTTCTTTCTTCGTATTATTATCATCATCAAACACTATATTAGTTGCATGACCATTTTGGTTCTATTCGACCAGAGAATTAGCACTTCTCTGATCTGACCTTGCATAAGAATGCAACATGTTGAGTAAGTTGAAATGCGAAACCCGGACTTTCCCTTTTTTTACCAATGCCGGCAAGGACAGCGAATTCATTAATGAGTGCAAATTAATCACTTTACTTAAACCGTGTTAATTGTCCAATAATTGAATCAATTGCATGTATCGAAACCCCTCCCGTTTTTTCGATGACACATCGAGGGTCCGCCAGAAAAATCTCGGCCTTCAGAAAATCGGCAGACGGCCCGTGGACCGATATTTTCGGTCTCGTGGGCTATAACTTCTAGAGCTTGTCTGCATGTGATCGGTTTACAATGATGTATGTCATAATTGAACAATTCCTCAAATATCATCAATTTCGTAAATAAGATTTATTAATGTTATGAAATGCATTATGTTTTTTGTCAGATTGACACTTTGTGTTTCTTTTCTACGTGTATAATTAAAACAAGAAAAGTAAATGACTTAGCTCAAATTTTATCCATTGGTATAGTGCTACATCGGGAGAAAGAAACGAAACGTTTATGCTTTATATAGGCCTATGGCTCTATGTATTTACAGGGAATGAAATTATTATATATATTTTTTCTTGAGTTAGCCTATTCTTATTTTACGATCTATAGGCTCATCATTTTGTAATATCCCCATGTCTCGTATTCGTACAATAACATTTTCCTCACTTTAACTATGGATATTCGTGTAATTATGTTTCTCAATGTTGTACTATTTTGGTAGCCCTACATTATTAAATGTTACTTTTAAGAAAGTAGTCTTGCCAAAAGCAATGCAATTTTATTCAATTATTTAATTATTTCCTGTACACCTGTAATGGGCTGATAAAGGGAACACTTATGATACGTTATAGGATATGAATCCGTATGTCTTGGGAGTCCAAGCAACAAACAATAACAAGTTATCTGGACAAACATCTCAGATCTGTTAAAATTAATGTTTAATGTTTCATTCTGTACCAAAATGACAATATTTACCGTAATACGTAATTTATCTCGATTCAATTATACACTATTCATTTATGTATAATGTATGGGGATCTTTCCTTCCTCATCATAATGTTACAATCTTCTTCTTTTACCCCCTCTGTTTTCCTCTCCTTTTCTCCTTTTCTCCTTTTCACATCTTCCTTTTCCCTTTCTCTCTATCCCGGTGCTCCTTGTTATCACATATATTATTACACTGTAACTTATATTGTTATTGTTAATGTACTTTGCTATTGTATATATTGTTCATTATAACCTCCCGCCTATCCCATTGGGTTGACGGGCCTGGTTTTTGTGTGTACATGATCTCTAATAAAGACTTGATTTTAATACAACCTGATGATGATATTGTGTAGGCTACTGTAAGTTCTTTAAATAGATCCATCAAAATAATCAATGAAATAGATTAAATCAAAGTCAAATGAGATTCTTACTTGATGATCGAATCGTGGCCCCTCTCAGCCGCAGCGTGGAGTCCCGACGCACCCCAGCTAGTCGTCACGTCTACCCGAGCTCCCCGGTTGAGCAGCCAACGTACCACGCCGGTGTAACCCCGTACACTGGCGACGAAAAGAGGTGTTTCGTGGCTCTGAGGGGCCTGGTAGTTGACCAGCTTACGACAAATGGGAGAAAATGTCAGGAGACGCTGGATTTCACCAACATCGTTCGCCTGCACGGCTAGCAGAAGCGAATTCATCGTCGTAGTCGAAAATCGTCTGCGATGAGCATCAATTTGCACGTACGATGGCTGGCTTGGGAGATCGTTCTAATCGCGATTTCAGAAAATGACAACAGAGTTTGTCGTCTGCTGTGTTTAGTCACGTGATCTTCTTACAGCTGCGCAGTCGTCGTTTCTTGTTCCAGAGCCTGCATGTATAGAACAATATTATCAACAATTAAAAAGTACGTGTCCTTAACACGTACATCTCTTTGTAGCGCTATGGTACTTAGATTAAAACCCACCTCTTCAAATTAGCAGTTTGCAGTTCTGCATTTAAAATCGAGATAGTCGTTACAATGCCAGCGGTGTGGTGTAATACACATTCTGTTGAAAACAATGTGTTTTGCATGTCATCGCTTGTCATACTCATGCACCGAATATTTCACAGGTTAAAAGCTAGAGTCGATACACGCGTAGGCGTTTTCACAATGTGTGACGAACTCTGAGAAAACATTCCATATTGTAATAGTTATTCGAGTGCATTCAATGAATAATGGCGGATAAAGAAGAAAGGAAGGTTTTGAAAGCAGATCCTACGGATGTTGCAGACAATGACGAGTTTTAGCTGAAACGACTGAAGTATCAATTCCCAATTCCGCTTTTCGTAGAATCGTGATTACTCAAACTAGTTTAGTAATAGTGCCTGTCAAAAAGGAAAGTGAAATTTAGTTGAATTTTAGCAATTACAAAATCATGCACGCGTGCGTTGATTATGTCATTTTATCACGAGACAATCATGTCAAAAAGGTGAGATACTTTACGGTATTACAATGATACTAATTATACAAAATAATTGCGAAAGTCTATAAGAGTATTGAAAAATATATCCGTTTCAATAGTTTTTATTATGTCCCGTTAATTTTGATTGAGATTTACAGATTTTACACCTGTCCAGTGGCAGTGATTTAGGCTCAATTGCTTTTTTTTAAACAGAGTTAACTATCATACTGTGATCCAGATATCTCTATAGAACATTGAACAATGCGCAGAAATTTTTGTGATGTGCATTAAAATCAGCAAGAAAATGCGCTATTTACTTTGTTGATTTAATTATTGAATCAGAATGAAATCAATCGAGTCAACAAGAATATTACAGTTTTGTAACCGACTCTAATTTGATCTGCTATCCCTCATTGTATATTACCTGCCATCATAGCAATAACATCTACCACGACGAAAAATAAAAGGATATTATGTTTCAAAGTATCATTTTGGGACGGACTATAGGTTATGTATCTTGTTACAATGATAATCATCAAATTGCTTTGAACACTTACCAGCACTTGTCACAGATGACGTCTATTCTTCAGTCCACTTAGCGCATAAAAAGTTCCACATAAGTATCATTACTTCGTGTAAAGCACAACACATACCACTCAACAGTACTTGTCACAGATGATGCAATTCTTCAGTCCAATATAGCGCATAAAAAGTTCCACATATTAGTATCATTACTTCGTGTAAATCACAACACATACAACTCAACAGCGCATTGTGAAGAAGGAAAAAAAGCCTGAGAGTGTAATGTTTACCGATCAATTCAGAAGAGTTTTTAAATTGTTGCAAAATCAAATCAAATCCATGCAAGCCTGGGTTTCAATAATGCAATACGCAAGAGTGACAGAAGGGCAACAGTGCTTTCCTAATTATATGCAAGTCCATCAAACCGCAGGGTTTTAATGATGTTCCGCTTTACCCCGAAAGTGGACAATCTAGCGTTTTTGTTGGACTGTCGATTTCACTATGAAGTAATCTCTGACCAAAAAAAAAATGATTCTGGCGCAATTGTTTCTGAAGTAGTAAACTGGCGAAGGACAAAACGTCAACAATAAATTGGCCGACCTCATTTTCATTAGCTAGCAGTATTCCATTGTGCACCTTGAAATTATACAGTGACAGTTCAATAATTAGCACAGCAGAACAGCTCCATCATTTACATTTTTAGGAAATGAATTCACGTTTTTACTCAGTCTTTGGTCTGGAAATGTTGCGATGAGAAAAGGATGCGTTTGTTTTCGTCACAAACAATGTCGGTTTAGCCGGGAAATCAGAGTTTGCATATCATGCAAATCCGCGTGCTTTGAATACCAGAAAATAAAAGAATAATACACCAAGGGTCAACTAGATACGGGGAAATATAGACCATGCATGACGAGGAAGTGCGGGCACAGTTTTGTATATCCTTTTCGGTAGACACTTTGTTTATTGTCATGTGCTCTTAGAATAGGCCTACGACCCTATAGCTGCACCTGACAGTTTGGTCACCGGGTAGTTTCCCCTATTTTCCCCATGACTATTTACGGGATATGTCCGAAGTCCATGAGTGTATTCCACTGTGAGGTCTAATCCGAGTCTTCTGCGCGGTTTTTTACTATGCATGTGACCGTATACAAAATTAAGAGGGGAAAAAGGTACTACCGTAAAGAAGATTAAGAAAAAGGAAAGTAACTGAAATGAACATGATTAGACAAGAATTATATACTCAGAGGAATTATACAAATTATCGAAAAATAGGCCTAGTGGCTAATAGAGAATTTATTTTGGTTTATGATTTGTATGCCTACAATTACATTTCGAATAGCTTTAAGGCTCAAAACTGCAATATAGTTGAGGGAATAGAACAACGTAGGGGGTTAGAAACTAATGTAAAGTTATGTTTTGGGTTTAATTCATTGTTTCTTCCTCTTTATAGTTAATCCTTGGTTCAGAAGGGAGGAAACTCTGGATCATCTATTCTTTATGAGCACATATACATATTGTTTTATCAAATAAAATCACAGGTTGTTCTCTTTTTCCTATCTCTCTCTCTTCGTTTTTGTCTCGAGATTCCCCTCGTGTTTTTATCATTTTATCTCGAAAACGAGAACAAACAGTGAAACAAATTAAGAACAATTAATTTGTATACACAACAATGATTATCTATTAGAGTAAAGTTTAAGCATAGACCTAGGAAACATAATTCATGCATGGTTTGTTCAATTATTTTTGGAACAAGAAATTCCGAATTTAATGTCATGCCCCTGGCAATACTAGTGTGATCATTTACCTGGAACTACTTACCGAGGCATGTGCTTCATGATTATTAAGAGGGGTTGAGAAAAAAGGATTGAGGGTGATGAAGAGGGAAATAGACAGCTTTATATTAAGTCAGCCCTGTATACACGGTAATATTGGCCAATATTTCCTACAGTCAATATCGCTACGATATGCCTCTATCACTTCTGCATGGGAATAGCAAAAACAAAATATTTGGGTAAAGTTTAGGGGAAAATTATCCGTAGACCGCTTTCCATTTTCCCATTTACCTTTTGACAGCTTTCCCATAGAGCGAAAAGACTTTTTTTAATTGCAACCCTATTGTACACACATGTTTGTAACGATCAGCAGGGATTTTCATTTCCCCTAAAACATCCCGTTCGCTGTGCGACGCTCAGAAAACGAGTAGGGAAATTCCCGAAAGGTAATGATTACGTCACTCTATGAAAGGTTAAACCAAAGTGCGCGTGCGCTGCAATGACGCAGAGAATAGTCTACAAGCACAGACCAATAGACGATTTCTCATGGCCGCTCTAAGAATACTATAGGCATACACAGGATAGTTTGTCACATGGGGAGCAAGAGATGGATGGTGGAGGGGGGGGGGAGGGGGAGGGGGGATCGGGGTAATATAAAGTCTACCATTGAAATACTTGGCTATAAAGAAAACTATTAAATCTGTCCTTTAATAATATTGTGTGCAGTGAATATTCTATAGTTTTAGTTTTTGTTCGACGAAAGAAATGCCACCGCATGCGCCGCTTATTTCACAGAGCGTAACGATCGACAACCGACAACCAAGGGGGTGATTCGGGGAGGTGGGGTGTAGGTGGTCAGTTTCTAGTGTCCATTTTTTAAATAATAACTTTGGTTTTATTTCAATTAGTGTGAATTCTACAGAGCATCATGACCCCTACCCAATCCTGAAGAGGATTGGACGCCGACTGCTAACAACCCACACCGCTGTAAGCATTCCAGTGTGTCTGCATAGCAACAACTGTGAATAAAACTATATACGGGTGAATTATTTTAAGCCACATTGTAGAGGAAGATACATGTTTGTATTTACGTGCACACGCACTGATTCCTATCGTTGACCAAGTCCTTTGTCTTTAGGTTCCAATGGGAAGTTTTCTCGTCGTTTCTAGGTGAATAAATCGTCTGGTAAACAAATTAGTTAACTAAGTATAACAGATAACCACCAAAAGGTTTATCCCTAAACCGTAGTGTCGAAATATTTTCAATCCAACAGCAATCCATGTTCGGTATCTCAAGGATATTTTGTGTTTCGTTTGTCGTTTTATAATGATCAGCAAACTGATCAATACTAATCTCTGCTAAAGCTAATCTAAGATATAATTACTCATTGTGTCATTAAAATTGCTATTGGTCAGTGCCAGTGCCTGAGGTAAGAAAAAAAAACGGAGATTATCATCTCATAGACCTACCTGACATGATTTGTTTCAATATAATTTGATTTGTATGAAAGTTTTGATAAGTTAAAGACAACATCAACATGTTCTGTTTATTAATGATATTTGCTGGGAGATGCTCTTTAAGCATATAACTTTTTAACCCTGTGATTTGTAGCTTGGATTTAATTGTTTCCTCTTTGCTATGAGGGTATATTTAGTAACTGAATTCGAAACCAAATAATTTTTATTATTCGGTAGTGTACGATGGGTCTCAAATTAATGGGGGAGGGGGCTTACTTGGAGGATGAAGGCGTAGGAATGGGTGTGGTTATGTAGGGGTAACCCCGACCTTTCCATCCAAATTTATAAGGAAATGTTTCCCAAAATTTCTTTTCTTTCCTAATTTTGTTTAACCCTCTCTTTCCCCCTCTTCCCCCTTTCTTCCTTTTCTGCATCTGGTCGTCTCTCTCTCCGTCTCTCTCTTTCTCTCTCTCTCTCTCTCTCTCTCTCTCTCTCTCTCTCTCTCTCTCTCTCTATATATATATATATATATATATATATATATATTCGAGGAGGGATATATTCGATGGGAGCTAGTGTTATCATGCACCTCCCATAGTGCTCCGTCATTGACACGATGTATAAGAAGGTCATATTCCTGCTCTATCACGCGTATATTGTCCCTCGCGGGGTATAGTCACATGAGTTCAAACAAGACAAAAATAGATATGAGTGGGATAGCCGGAAAGTTTGTTTTTAACAATGTCATGACCTTTGGTATATTGTAGTATTCGGCTGTGTAATTAGGCCAATTACATCGCACGTGACGATGACGTCGATATTACCTAATGCATTGTGCATCATTAAAACTTAATTTCTACATAGCAACTGACCACTGCTGTCTAATAATAGCAAATATAAATTTCATCGCGCGATGCAAGTATTATCCCCTATCTTTAAAACAAATATATTTCTGCCGAATCAGCAGATGTAATTGGCAACAAAGTCAGTACGAAATAACGTTTGAAGTAACATTAGTTTGCAATTATTTAATTTGAATTGAAAATTTTCTTAATTTGAATATAAATAGTTAGGCCTACATAATATTAGAAAATTCAATTATATTGAAACATCCCAATACAAAAATATGCCTCAGTAGACTAAAAATTGTTGTGCACTTGCACCACGACGACTCAGAAATAAATAAAATTGTATAGCATAAAAAGTACATCGCTCTGACAACTTTAATTTAAATAAATTGTTGAACCTGTATGTTCAGAATGCTTTTCATATCGTTTTGTCATCCCTCTTTCTTCTTTCTC